TTTCGAAGAGATCTACAACTTTTATTTAAAACATTTTTCAAAATTTTTGATATTTGGTGAGATAAATGTTAAAAACCATAATTTTTATGGGTTTTTCATGGTTTTCATTGGTTTCTTGTTCCGACCGCCATGTCTAAGTTACATATTCATGTTCAGAACTCAAAAATACATAGGAATTGATTGTTGCTATCCCTTATTTCATATGCGTGGGTTTTCCGAAGGTTTACCCGCTTCGTCGCTAGTTTGCCAATCGAGTCTTAACCAGTTCGCTGATTTTCGCCTTGCGCTTCGCCGTGTGTTACCTATAAAACGACTTGCTCTTCACTGTGGACTGACTCTTTCGAATTTCGGAAATATATTTCGTGTTAAATCGTGAATACAAACGTGGTGTCTTTATTCTCTTTGTTCTCCTGAACACTCCTGTCCGGATCTCGCGATTCACTTGCGCTCTCGAACATTGTGCAATATTTATATTTATTCCATGGCCAGTATTGGCTTTACTTTTCACTTTTCGTTTGGCAATATCGACCAGTGCATTTCTAGTATAACCAACATTGGACCAATGTTTAGTCAATGCACCGTGCTACTAGGGAAGGTTAGTAGCCTACCGAAGATGAAGTCAAACCAAAGTACCAGTTTGTTTTCTGGTACAGTTTTATCCAGTTCGTTCTGGTACAGGATAAAACAGGGTTTAAGCCTAATTGACGAGAAGGAAGAAGCAATGTAATTGAATAAATATATAATTCATATTTTATGCGAGAGTGCAAGGAAACTACACAGTCGAGATTGAAAAGGAGACGGATATCAATATGTCGCCGCAAAATGTGATAGATACGCAGTAAACATCAGCTACCAGTAACATCATATCATTATTCTAATTTCCTCTTCAATAATGTAACTATTGGGTGCTTTCCAACAATGAAACACTGTGTCGTCACTGTGTAACACAGTGTTACACAGTGTCGACTTGTAGCTGGAACGCTGTTTAGCTTTTTTGTGTTACCGCCAGAGTGCAGGGCATTCACTTTAATAATTTGTCTCTAAATTTTCCGGTGTATATTGGTGTATATGCACGGAAAATAGTATATCTGAATTGTTCCGAATATAATCTTAAAAATTTTCCTACCGGAATACCACACCGGAGAAAAATAAATGGTATATGTAAAAATGTTGGTATCCATGGAGTGACACAAAAATGCGGACACAGTATTTGAGCTGTGTACGCTTGTGTCGACTTGTGTCGTAGTTGGAAAGCACTGGGTCGTACACTGTGTTACACAGTGTCGCCTGTGTACGTTGCTGGAAAGCACCCATTATGTGCAACGTGTGTTACGTTCCACTTATATTATGGAATGGGAAATTAGAATATTGTTGTGATGTTACTAGTTGCTGTTCACTATCGTTTCTTACCGTCTTGTAACATGTCCATAACTTCGCTATGCGTGAAGTCATCGTAAACTTCCACGTCAAATCCAAGATTCCCGAAAGTTACTTCCAGTCTCTTGGCGTCCAATGATGAACCCTCCCGTTGGGAAAAATTTGTAAAGTCAAATCTATCGTGATTGAAGATTATGCACTTGCCGCGATTTTTGTAATTCATGTTATAGCAATCTGCGTCCTTTGATACCGCCGTGTATACAACGGGTCCTTTGATGGTACTGAATAAGAAAAGGCGGAAAGAAACGGCGTTAAACGTTATCAATTCACCAAATTTAGAATTGTTGAATCGCCAGTAATTAAAACAAAATACTCGAGGATTAGATCGACCAAGGCTGGCAGTTTTATTTTATTTTAAATTTTACCACGACGTTTCGGCCAGTAATACTGGTCCTTTTCAAGTGGATCCTATTACTTGTGACAACGAAGCATCTACAAATCAATAACTTAGTCGAAATATAAAACGGTAATAATTTGTAAAACTATAAATGATAAAAATATAAAGCGGTAATAAATTATAAAAAGAACTACGAGTAATTTTCTCAGTTATACTATAAAACAATAAATTATAAAAGAAGAACTTACAGGAAAATATAAAATTAGGCTAATCGTCATCGCACATAGAAATATACGCCTTCGCACGTGTCATGTCACCAAGAGACTAAATAGTTGGAACAGAACAAAGGGACATTGCTAAGATCCTCCCGTCGTGACATATAGGAGGGGACCGGAGAAACAAATAAATAAAAATAAATATGAAGTTATAAATAACTAGGTGAGTGGAACAATTTTATCATATATCGTGTTCAGATTTTCAGTGTCTTTCTGGAGGTTAATAGTGTTATTAAATTTCTTGATAAAAAACATCTCTGCAATTTCTCTGCGTCTATAATGTCGTTCTTTGTGTAAAATTAAAGGATTTGACCAGTCAAACTCATGTCCGAATATTGTCCGATGTTTGCTTACGACAGAGTGATTTGATGTCGGTTTTTTGATGTCGTTGCAATGTTCCTTTATTCTCGTTGCAATGTCTCTTAGTTTGGCCAATATAGGTCGCGTCGCAGTTAATACAATCAATTTTATAGACAAGTTCGGTCTGTTTCGTGTTGATTATTTTATCCTTCCCCTTTCTTATAATTTCTTATAATTACGTCAAGTTTTTTAGAGACAGTAAACACAATATTCATATTAAATTTAGATAAAATGCGTCCTATTTCTTCACTAATACCATTGATAAATGGTATAGTGAGATAACTTTTACGTTCAGGGCTCTCAGTTGGAGGGTCGTTAGTATTAGTATTGTGTCGGTGACGTAATAGTTTTAATCTTTTTGTAATATGTTCTTTAATAAAACGGGGGGGGGGATAAGAATTATTTAGGAGAATGGCTTGAATTAACTTAATGTTACTGTTATGGAAACGTGCGTCAGAAAGTAAAATGGCTTGGTCTACTAAAGTTGTGATCGTGTTAATTTTGTATTTTGTCGGGTGGCTCGAAAAGTAATTAATGTATCTTCCCGAAAATGTCGGTTTTCTGTGCCAATTCGTTATCATTTTGTTGTTTTCTCTGAGGACAGACAAATTAAGAAAATTGAGTGTTTTATTATTCTCAATCTCGGAGGTGAATTGTAGACGAGGATGGTAACTGTTAAAGGTATTCAACACTTCTTGAAGTCTGTCCTCAGGGAGGACTAGGAATATGTCATCAACGTATCTGTAGTACACTTGTATCTCGAAATCCAAAGAATTAACACAGTGTGTCTCTAGGTATTAGTGAAGAAATAGGACGCATTTTATCTAAATTTAATATGAATATTGTGTTTACTGTCCCTAAAAAACTTGACGTAATTATAAGAAAGGGGAAGGATAAAATAATCAACACGAAACAGATCGAACTTGTCTATAAAATTGATTGTATTAACTGCGACGCGACCTATATTGGCCAAACTAAGAGACATCATCATCTTTATTACACTTTAGCATACAGCCAGAAAGTGGGACTTGGTTTACAAAAAGTCTTATCCATTCATACCATCCAAACTCAACACGCACCCAATTCTATTTCCTACTCTATTTTACGCTACACACCGTTAATATCACACAATTACCCCCTATATCCTAAACTTAGATTGACTATTTACATTCACCTTCACATTTATCTTTCTGTTTATCCTCACATTCAACATTACATTTGTCCTTACTTACTTTATATTCTCGCCAACATTTTACATTTTACATTTTACATTTTACATTTTATATTTTACATTTTACATTTTACATTTTCATTCTTGATTCTTTCTTTTTCCTTCCAAACTTTACAAACCACCTTTCCTTTCAACTCATCTAGCGTATCGTTAAACAATCTCTCCATTTTCTCTTTGTCACTATTACCTAACCCTAAAAACCATTCCTTTGCGATTTCACAATCCTTGATATAGTGCTCGAAGTTATCCCTACCTTTTCCGCAGAATACGCATTCGCTTTCCCCATTATCCTTATACAAACCAATACTTGTTTTCCTCCTCCATATTGCCACATCTTAGTCTGAATAACGCTCTTATTTCCCTTCCATTGCCATACTTTTCCATATTACCTAACTCCAAATATTTCGGTCTTTCTATTGTACATAATTCTCTATATCTTGTATTATATTCTACACCTCTTATTCTACCATCTATCCATTGTTTCTGTATATCCCTATCCCTTAGTAATAGTTCCTTACACAAATTTCTCTCTTCCCTAGCCATACTATCTACTGCAATTGTACCCCACCCATTCCTGTTATAATACTCCTCTCTTTCTATACCATATAAATCGTTCCATCCTTCTTTTTGCTTTTCTTTCCAACATATCTTAACCCTACCTTCCTCCATATTCCTTATTTTTTCCTCGTACTTTCTCGCACCTAATCCCCATCCTATTTTTAATTTATCTAAATCTAACTCCCTGTAAATCAGATACCTTAGCGTACAAAAATCTAGTTTAAACATCCATCTAATATAGTCCATCATTACCTTTTCCAAATTCTTTCTCTCTACCCACCCCCATACTTCTACACCATATGACATAATGCTCTTAACCAAATATACAAATAACATTCCTCTTCTTGTAAAATCGTCTTTACATATTCTTTCACCCAACCCCCATACCTTATTTGCCGCTTTCCTACCCTTTATACCTAATTCCTCTATGTGGTCTTTATAATCCCCTCTTCTATTAAAAATAAAACCAAGATATCTAAAAGTTTTAACCTCATCTAATTCCTTCCCCATCCAATTCCATTTTTCCATTTTTTCCTTCCCTTTTTTGTTAAAAACCATAATTTTCGTTTTGTCCGTATTCAATATAAGTTTCCTATCCTTTAAAAATTTCCTAAAAGTACCTAACATATCTAATAAAGCCGTCCTATTTTTCGCCATTAACACCATATCATCCGCAAAAGACAATGACCATACTCTTTCGTTGCCTAATTCTATTCCTTCTATATTCCTATTCCTCATATAACTTCTACCTCTGCTATATATACATTAAATAACGCCGGACTCAAAACACATCCCTGTCTTACTCCTTTCCTTGTGATGAATTTTTCCGTGTAGCTATCCTCAATCCTTATTACGTTGTATGTTTCCTCATATATTCCTCCTATTCTTCTTACTAAACTATGGTCCATTCCTTTATCCTTCATCAGATTCCATAACCTCCCTCTGTCTACTGTGTCAAAAGCTGCCTTTAAATCCACGAACGCTGTATATATTTTCCTATCCTCCTTCCTTTTATCTCTCTGAACCAGGTGGGAGAGGACGAATATATTGTCTACCGTACCTCTACCCCTCCTAAATCCAGCCTGACTTTCCGGGATCAGGTTCAACCTGTCCGTTTCCATTTCCAGCCTACCTCTTAGAACCTCAGCATAAATTTTGTAAGCCGAGCACAACAGGGAGATACCCCTGTAGTTCTCAGTCCTTTCCTGGTCACCTTTCTTGAATAAAGGCACCAGTATGCTAGTTCTCCAGTCCGTTGGAATCGTACCTTCTCTCCAGACCTGTTTAACAATGTCTATTAAACCCTTCCTTATCGTAAAACCTCCATATATCCATGCCTCCATTGGTATACCATCAATACCAGCAGCCTTCCTTTTCTTCATTCTTCTTACTGCATTCATAATTTCCTCCCCTTCAATTTCCTCTTCCTCTTTGTTTCTTCCAGCTCAGCTTCCAGTATTTGTCCAAACTTTTTCCTTTTCCTTTTCCAGAACTCCTTCCTTGCAGCCTTCTATCTTCTCGCCTTCCAATAACTCCATAAAATGTTTTCCCAATCTTCCTTCTTAATGTTATTCTCCACGTAAACTCTTTTTCCTCTTTTCCTATTTATATATTTCCAGATTTCCATGCTGTTTTTCAAATTCTTCAGTTCCTCTTCTTCCTTTAATTTCCAACACCTTTGTTTCTCTTCAAAGTAAGTCTTCAGTTTCTTTTTTTCCTCTATATAATCCTTGTGTCTGATCTTCCCTTTCTTCCATCCCTTGAACATTCTTCCTACTTGCCTTTTTCTCTTCGTACAGCTTCTATCCCACCAATCCTTATACCCAATCTTTCTCACCTTCCTTCTTCCTATAGCTTTTTTTACCATGGCCTCATTTATTATGTTCTTAATTTTATCCCATTTTTCCTCGATTGATAATCCTTGATCCTCTTCCATCCATTGCATAGAGTCCGATTTTACTCTGAATTCCTCGATTGCCTTTACATTCCAACATATCTTCATTCTTTTTACTTCACCAGCCTCTTCTCTTTCCTCTTCTTCCTTTTCCTCTTCCCTCTTCTTTTCTTCTTCCGCATCAATCTCCATTGACAGGGGCATGTGATCCGAGTCCACCCTATCCTCTACCTTAAAATCTATTACAATATTCAAACCACATTCATTAACAATAACATAATCTATTACTGAGTTACCTCTATTTCCAACATATGTATATTCTCCCTCCTTATCACCTCTCAATACACCATTCAAAACATATCCTCCTATTTTATCCAATAGATCTCTTAGATTCTTACCTCTTTTGTTTGTTATCTTATCCTTACATCTCCTTCTCGTTTCCCAGTTTTCATCCTCGCTATCTCTTTCCTCTCCCATCCTTGCATTGAAGTCTCCTCCAATAATAACATACTCCCCCCTAAATTCCTCCGTTATATTAATTATTCCCTCCTCCACTTTTTGCCAATCATCTATATCATATACTGAACCTATAATCAAATTTTTTCCCCCCTTATCGTTACAAAACCTATGCAAAACCACACCTTTCTCC